TTCTTTTGTAGATCTTGGTCGAGAAGCCCACGAAGAGTGCCAATTAGCCGCTATTCCAGGTAATTGATTCTTTTTTTGTTTTGCACTGCTTGATTATTTTTCGTACCATGCTTTCTAAAAGTTTTCAGGATCTATGTGACTAGGTTTCAGCGAGAGAAACCAGATGGTAACTAGTAAATGTAAACATTTCACAAGCTTGTATTCATTATAGCACATGCATATTTTATAGATATTTATAAATATATCTATAGCATGCTCTGTATATTATACATATATGTCTATAGCATTATCTGTATCATCACTATAGTCGTTAAAAACTAGTTAGAAATTCGGAGAACGATGTTGGAAACGAATTAATGGGCGAATTAATCAATAATCATGAAAAAACAATAAAGTTTACACTTTATCTACTTTATTAACATTTCTATGAAAATTGATCTTCGTTAATTAATTATTTCATTATCGTTCTCTTTTTAATCGATCAAAACTTGTATTTGGAAGGTTGAGAGATGTCTTAAGGTGATAATCGATTGCGTCATGAATCGTGTGCCTTAGAAAGACGAAAAATAATTGATGCTTGATTGACAATTGAATGCAGGAGAAAGATAGGATCGTGAATAAATCATTCGATAGATAAAAACGAGGAGCATTTAAAAATAATGTAATAAAACAGAATAGAGAAATTCCCAGAAACGCGTGATATTAGCGTGTGTAGTAGCTTTGAAAGTATTAGAATTGCATTTGCAGAATTTTAAATTGTAAATGTGCATTAGTTAAAACGTAAATTTGTCACATCATCATTCGATTATCGATTTTATTCTTTATGTGCTTTAAGAGAAAAAGATCTTTTTGATATCTAAAGTCTAAAATAATAAGAAATATTTATGAAATTGGATTTTTTCGTGTTCAATGATATGATGAGGAAATTAAAATTGCGAAAAAACAAATTGTCGAGCAATAATAATAAATAATACTTTCTCATTGATAATAATACAAAATAATCTTCTACGTGAATTTTTTGAATTGATTTCTAATTTGTTACTTCGTGTTTGATATTTTCTACTAATTAATAATTTTTTATTCTGACTAATATAAAAAGAACTAATATATAATTATATTGAAATTTTTTCAATTATTTTGAGATTCTATTGAGTAATAAGTACCTTAAAGTATATATTTTGAATAGTAAATATCTAAAATATTCTTTTGTGTCATTACTATTTTTAGGACTTTGGATACAGAAAGATGTTAATCGAAAAGGACGAACACTCATGCTTTTATCACTTTTCATACATTGTAGTATGGATTATAATTAATCATAATCTATTAAAATTTTAATTTATTAATCTTAAAATTGCAGTTTTATTCAGTAAAAAAATCGACTTATGCTGAATGCATCGCGATAAGAAAATTGTATATATGGAAGCGATATATAGATACATCATATATAGATCCAAGCACGAAACATAGAGAGTTCCTCTTTTTTTCATATGCATTTGAGTGGGCAGTCTAGGATAAAGATAAATGCAAAAATTAAGTCATAACGGCGAAAAGCGAGAATATGTATGCAATTTTGTTTTCGATTTATAATTTTTTTTGTTCGAAAATAATGAAAGTAAGAGAAAATAAAAAAAAAGTGTTATAGTGGCCAGGAGTATGATAACGTTGATGATTATATTGCTAAAACGTTTGCAGATTCTACCAGCGTCAGCTCCTAGCTCTGCTCGTCTCCCCGCCACTACTACTGCTACTTCTACTACTACTACTACAACCGCCGTGAAAAAGCGTATTCGTACGCTAAAAAAAGCAAAATTATCAATCTCGCAATCGTCAATCGAACAAAACTGAACCAAAAAATACATAGATATGCCTGCCTGCCCACTAACTTCCCAACCAAGTCACCATCAGTCACCACCAAGTCACCAATAGGAAGCCGTCCATACCTACATGTCGTCCGTCGAGGTTCTGCGTTGTGGTGTTGCGACGTGCACACAGTACACACAGCGCAACAACCGAAACAACAGTTTGCGTGCTGCCGGAGTGCCGTCAATACCGAGAATGCCATCTTTTGTTGCTGTCTTCCGGTTCGACTGCATCGTTGCATCGCTAAAACAAACCGTCTTGAACCGAAACAAAACCGTTCGTCGCTCTACTACGAGACTCCCATTCGATAACCACTACTACTATTACTACTCTTCCACCACTACCACCAACCGGTCACCGGATGTTGTGATCCACCTTCTTCGACTCTTCGTCTCAACTTTAGCCCGGGGGGCGGTAATATGCATCGAATTAAACGTCAAAAAAATCCACCGTCGTGAGAAAAACGTCATCATCAGCCGTCATCATCTTAAACGAATTCATCGCGCTATGCCAAAAAAAGAATGGTCTTCCACAGTAGTTCTATTGGCACGTTTCTTTATTCGACTACAAACGACTGTCTTCTCGACTGTTCGTCGTTTCACTACCGACGTTTCGATTTCATCACTGCTACTACTAGTATTACTGCTACTGCTACTGCTACTACTACTACTACTGCTACTACTACTACTACTACTACTAGTACCTAGTACTACTACTACTACTACTACTGCTACTGCTACTACTCCTACTCGTCGACCATCATTTAGGGACATATGTTAGCGACGATGACAACTGAGCACGCGAAAATTCCTGCCGAGAGATCTTCTCGACCTTCGACTCTTTGAGAACAAATTCACTAAAAGCAAAATGATCACCTACACACCACCTACCAACCAACCACATGTTCACAGTTGTCTGGTATTTCACCGATTTTCAAAGATTTTTTATGTCTATCTTTCTATTTCTACTTTTTATTTTTGTTTGTTTTTCTTTTTTTTTTACAATTATATACAATTAGATTTATTCAGACATGGTGTTTTAGATTTATTGTTGTCTTTTCGGCGAAGAGTTCTGTTTGATTCGACAAAGAATTAATGCCGTTATTGAGGCTAGATAAATAAAGCCTTTCAATTGCTCTTAATAAAATTTTCAGAAATAAATATAATCAATATTTAGTTGAATCAGAGAACTTTTAGTCGACATATGTAATATAAGATGATATTAAGAGATATATATTAAGAGATGTCACATTACTGATAAAAGATTTATAACTTGATTATTAAAATTAATCCTTTATACTTTCTTTAATTGGTTTCGCATTCAATTTAGTGAGCTGCCATTTTGTATTAATTCATTATTAATCGTGTCTAATTATATAATTTTTATATATCATTCTCTTTAGGCAAAATAGAAATTAGATAATTCTAATTTTCTTGCAGTTGTCTTGCGATGATTTTTCATATCTGTGTTTTACGTTTCTGCGCCCCATTTCGAACAGAATATGATACTATAATTTTACAAATTCCAATCGCTTCTAAACTATAATGATAAGTAATTATTAATATTTTATAATAATATGTTATCTATATATTGTTTAAAGCGATACGCGAAGCTCGTAATGGGACGAAGAAACTTAACAGTTCTAACAATTTGTCTCCTACTTCAAGATGAAAGCGATATCTAAACTGTTTTTAATCTTTTAGATCGAGGTCTCGCAGTCCCCGCAGAAGATCATTGACCCGAAGCCGCAGTCGCGATCGCCGTTCACGTTCGGACTCTCGTGACAGACGGTATTAATATAAATTAATTCGAAAAAGAATGTTATTTCCCCAAAATAGGAAAGAAAACAAAAAATTGCATGCATCAGTAACAAAATGTATGAGGCATTTGAACGTTATAATTTCTTTTTACTGATATATTAATATTCTTATAATTTCTTTGATTGATGTAATATTATGACGTCATAAATAGATAAAAAAATCTTACCATTGTCCCAACAATGCGAAAATTCCGATTTAATCAAAGTTCATCGCGAAAGTAAAAAAATGTCTCTCTTGCGAAAAAAGAGAAAAAATACGATTTTAATAGGATTTTTTTTCTAAGCTTTGTACTTTTTATTCAATTACAGTTAGATGCTAAAAGTGCGAGAGGGAAAAAGGAATGGGCCAATTTTACATGCCGAAGAAAAGAAGATAAAAAGATAAAAGATAGAGCGAATTTTTGTATGTACATAATGAAAATTGTTAATTCATTATCTATACATCCATACACACACGTGCTCATGTTTGAAATTACTAAAAATAACTACGATAAACAAAAACAAAACCAAAAACATTCAACAAATTATGTGAATTATGTTTATTGTACAAAGTGTATTCTTCTCGTAAGTTCCATATATGATGCTATAATATGATTTCATATATATGCTATTATATATGAAGCTTATAAATACACGGATGAATTATACTATTGTTTCTGTGACATATTTACACATACATTTATATATTACATCATGAATTGCATACATCTGATTGATTGATTAATTGTATCAAAGTATGCTATTTACAAAATAAATCTAATCATTACTTTTGTGAATTTATGACCATTATTATTGATATTCTATATAACGGCTATATAACGAGAAGACGAGATGGGAATAAATATTTATTTTTGATATAATCCTTTAATCTTTTTGTATTTTATTTTTAGATCGTTTTTGTATTTTATTTAAGATACGACACATAAATAAACTTGCAAATAATAAAATGCAAAATTGTTTTTCTTTATATATTGTAAACATGACTTTTTTCCATTGACAATGAATGCAATACAAGTTGTATTTAATGAATAGTACAAATAGTATAACATGAATATAGTTAAATCTAAATATATATTTTATGTACCATTTCTTATGTAAAATATTTGAGAAATTGTCGATGTAAATTTAATCTTCTATAACAAAATCTAGGCAATAAAAAATGAATTATGTTCTGCAATACTTTTAGAATATTTTAGAAGAAAAATATAATTTTTTTTTGTCATTTATATAAAAAATAAAATATTTTTGTTTTATAATAAAATGAAGCTATAAATTGGATTTGTGGGAATAAATGTTTTTTTTTAAATATTAAGAAATCATTCTACTTTTTTTAAAGAAAATATTTTAGCTCAGGATTTTTTTACTTATAATCTTCTTTGAATCTGAATTTACAATGTAAAATATACATTTTCTAAAATTCTTGATTATTAATATAATAGATGTATTTCTAATTCTAAGAATGATTTATTTCTATTTCTAAAACTCTCTGTGTATTTTATAAACTAATATTAATATACATTAATTATAACGTTATTTTATAGCTAAAAAATAAAAGAATATAATAACAAATATTTATTTTTTATGCAAACGATTACTTTAAAATGTTAAGCATATCTTTAATAAACCAAGTTTAAAGAAAATTCTCTGAATTGCATCAATGTTATTATAAACGTTTGTGTAACACACAACTAAGATGAATGCAAAAAATTTGTGACAAATTAATTTGAGACATATAAATCACTTGTACACGATAAGAAAATCGATGGACAGATGGACATGTAAATAAACATGTTATTTCACTTTTTGTGTGAAATGTACAAAATAATTCATTTTGTAAAACTAACTATTCTGTGCGATAAATTTTATTATAAATTTTATTATTTATCTTTTGAACAGATATTTAATATTGCAAATTGCATAATTAAATTTTGAAAACATTTTTTAAAAATATAAAGAAAGATATAGTATAAAGACTATATAAAAAAAAATTCTTATAAATAGGAATAAAAAAAGAAATTCTTATATATAATTCTTACATATAAGATATCTAAATAATTATATTAAGAAATATTTTTTAAAATATTTAAAAAGAATCTATATAAAAATATTAATTGATACAAAAATATTTTATTATATAGATATTTTAAATAATTTAAAATAAAATTTGAATAAACTTTAAATCATTATTGAGGAAATAAAAAAGAATGAGTAACATGTCTATTTTAAAAATAATGAATAATGTATAAATTACTCACCGCATATATCTCTCTTGTTGCTCCGTATGTTGCCCGATGCTTTTTTAAATCTTTTCCTTTCTTCTTTATCTTTTGCTTCCTCGTGGCAATTCACTCGCGAAAACACGATTAATTATAATTAGAAGTAATAATTTCTTAAGACACTTTACACAGCACTGCTAATTACGAAACAATACGAGAGATACGTGCTTTATTATGTTATAAAAGCAACTCGGAAAACGATTCATTCGACGTTTACACAAGACCAAAATTATAAGCCACTCGCTATAATAATGCTATTATTGCTGTTATATAATATGTACACCAATATGAATACATTAATAAGATCGAAAGATTAAAATGTGATATACCATTTAATTAATAATTAATTTATACTTGCATTTTATAAAAATTTAAAGTATTAGACAAGATATGACTCTAAAAAATTATTAGAGAAATAATTTTTATTAGATATACGATAATCGAAGAAATTATATTTATGAAACGATATTTTATAATTTCTCTGATGTCTCGATTTTTAGTTGCAATAATCGCGGTTCGATGAAGACGTCACAATACATTTTATATCGTTTATCAAAAGTTTAATAATCATAAGAAAATTTTAGATTTTGATAATAATTCGATCACGTTTAGAAAAAGAATTCGACGAAGTATTTCGCACTATTACTTTATTGTTCAAATGTCACTGTGCGAATAATAAATTCATAATACGCATTATACGTGCGTAAATATAACGCGGTATTGTTTTTACGTCAAGATCAAACCTAATTTGATCGTTACCGAAATATTTTACGTTTTAAATATTATATGAGTAGAATATTAAATTATACAAGTATTTTGAAGTATATAGATTAATTATTTACTAAACGACTAATATATTTCGCAAAACGTTAACTATATGATTTTGTCATTTAATTGTTTTACTGCGCGTTCTCGAATTGGTTCAATTATAGCAAATTAGTTTTGTGATAATGTTTGGAAAAAGAATTCGATAATATGCGAGTCATTTCATACTACTACTTTATTGCTCGAGTGTCACCGCGCAAATGATCACAAGGCCGTGTTACATAAACAAAAACGTACTAGCGTTTGTTTACTCTATGAAGGCCGAATATGTTATTGAAAATTCATTCTATGTCGTCTCTCATTCTTTTCTTTACTGATACAATATGTATACACATAGAAATAGAAAATAATTATATGAATAATAATTATTCATAGAAAATAATTATTATTTATTTTATTTAACATATTATTTTATTATATTATTATATTATTATTTTATTTAATTATTATTTATAAATAATGATTATTATTAATTAATAAATACAGAAATAGAAAAAGTCACGCGCATGACATAAATCAATTCACATTAATTATATTTTATTACAAATATTCACATTTCTCAACTTCCTTATTTATTATCTATGCTATTTATAAATATATGATTAATCTACATGTCGTGTAAAAAGTTTATAAATTTTCAAATCACACTTCAAGTCTAATTTTTCCAGAACTATTTAATGCACTGAAAGATAATTTTTTATTGAAGAGACTTGTTCATAATTCATCAGGCTGTTAGTTAATTTCAATTTAAATGTCATTCATGTCAAATTACGTCACATGTGCGCGCATTTCAGATGCGTTCAAAAATCTATTTATCGGCGTAAACGTCAAAAAGCAAGTAAATTTTTGAACACAGCTGAAAATGGCGATCCATAGACATACAAAATGCAAGGAAGACAGAATTATTACAGTAGACAGAATTATTACAGTAAAGGAAGCATCAACGATTTCGATATGTGAGCAGTTCGACTCAAAAAGTAACCCAATATAAATTATAACCAATTATAAATATATAATCGAATAAAAAAATCATATTCTAAGATGAATCTCATCAATATTTATCTCTAAACTTAAGCGGCCTTTTCATTGACGCTACTTTTTAGCGTCAATGAAATTGCACCTTAACAGTTGGCAGCCCTACGAGATAGGCTGTGCAGCACTGCGCGTATATAAAATAAATTTGAAATCGCTTCTAGCCTAACCATCTTTACGCGATCGACTTTATTTGAATTGCACGGCATCGTATTGAATTATGATGCGGCGCCGATTTGTTCGAACGTAATTCGGGACATCGCGATGCTGTATAAGCGTCGAATGAGCACGAATTGTCACGCAAATATGATAAATCACATCTACTCACCGTTCACCGGCTGTTCCACAGGCCGCTCCACTCGCTCGCCTCGGGACGTCCCATTCCGATCTTGATGCACACGATATCATCAACGCGAACGCGCGACACTTTATTCGGCACTCCCGATATTCGCTCGCATCCGATAATCATCATCAAGGACGCAAATAACGCGACGCGACTTCGCTCCATCTTCGCGATCGCGCTATCACTGAACTGTAAAAAATAGCTGTCGCGCACTTTCACCGACATATTATGAAAGTCGCGCGATCATCCTTGGACACTTTCGACACTCTTTCACTCGCGATATTCGTTTAAAAACGGTTAAAAGACGCGAAAAATGCGGACGTACGACGATCCGTGTAACTGCGTATGACTCCGATTCACGTATGACGCGCTAACATGGCGGCCGAACCAGTGCGCGCGTTCGTTTCTGCGCACTGGTTCGGCCGCCATGTTAGCGCGTCACTGCTACGTCATACGCGTCATACGTGATCGGAGTCATACGCAGTTACACGGATCGTCGTACGTCCGCATTTTTCGCGTCTTTTAACCGTTTTTAAACGAATATCGCGAGTGAAAGAGCGTCGAAAGTGTCCAAGGATGATCGCGCGACTTTCATAATATGTCGGTGAAAGTGCGCGACAGCTATTTTTCACAGTTCAGTGATAGCGCGATCGCGAAGATGGAGCAAAGTCGCGTCGCGTTATTTGCGCCCTTGATGATGATTATCGGATGCGAGCGAATATCGGGAGTGCCGAATAAAGTGTCGCGCGTTCGCGTTGATCATATCGTGTGCATATCAAGATCGGAATGGGACGTCCCGAGGCGAGCGAGTGGAGCGGCCTGTGGAACAGCCGGTGAACAGTGAGTAGATGTGATTTATCATATTTGCATAACAATTCGTGCTCATTCGACGCTTATACAGCATCGCGATGTCCCGAATTACGTTCGAACAAATCGGCGCCGCATCATAATTCGATGCGATGCCGTGCAATTCAAATAAAGTCGATCGCGTAAAGATGGTTAGGCTAGAAGCGATTTCAAATTTATTTTATATACGCGCAGTGCTGCACAGCCTTATCTCGTAGGGCTGCCAACTGTTAAGGTGCAATTTCATTGACGCTAAAAAGTAGCGTCAATGAAAAGGCCGCTTTAAGGTGCGGCCTCATTGACGCTACTTTTTAGCGTCAATGAGGCCGCACCTTTAAGGTGGAATTTCATTGACGCTACTTTTTAGCGTCAATGAAATTGCACCTTTACTCTCTCTTACGTCGATGTATCACCAGCCAATGCCCGTCTATATATATATTTTATATGTCTATGACCGCGCCGAACTGGCTGTAAGGTAAGGTTGAGTTAAGGTTGAGTTAGGCGAGGTGGGGGTAAAGCTAGGTGGGTTAGGTGTTAGGTGACTCCTTTGAGAGACGCCATTTTGTGAAGTTCGTCGGATTCTACGTGTGGTGGCCGATCGTGTTGTTCCAGCAGATTCTGCTGATCTAATAGCGACTTCTTTCAAAGGTATGGATCATTTAACAAAACGCCATTTTCGAATCTATTTTTAGGTTATATATGGGATATTCGCCCATTGACGTCAAATGAAAGATTGCTGCGATTATTGGAAGACGCATTTTTCCATGGCGTCATTTCGGCAACGAAGAAAACGCCTTTTCGTTATCACGTTCGACAAACGAAAATAGCAAAAAAGGATCATTCAGAGACGAATATTAAATTTTATTTATTTATTTTAATTAAAATTGTTACTTGGAGCAACGCATGTACATCTGTGAAAAATTTAAAACCTGTCAAAGAAGGGGGGGAGGGAGCTAAAAACGAAGATTCGATAGCGACCGCGACATGGCGTCGTTACAATTATTAATCTCAATAATAATTAATGAATTTGGACACGATGCGCGGCTTTCGATTGATTGAAAGAATGGTAGAATACTTTTCTTTAGAATTTTTCCATTATCGCATTTGTAGGAAGAAGTATAGATCCAAGAATTCATTATTTATTAATAAAAATATTTTGATTATTCTGACATTATTCTTACATTTTAATGAGCATGTTAGAGACCATGAACTTTAGAATTATGTGCATATATATCAGTGAATGGACTTTGTTATGTTAATGTATTAATGGAAATGTCAATGAAAATAGAAAATATTCGTATCATCAATATTCGTATCATCATGAATTATGAATTATTGTTTTGATGATAAACTTTTTATATATGTGTGTGTTATCTTTATATGTTTTACATGTATAGTGTGATAAATATAAAATGTTAGATATTTTCAAGCAAGAAGTTAAAAGTTTTCAAACATTTGCCATATATATTACATATTTATCCAAGTTTATCAAAAGTTTGATTGTGACTTTTTGTTGAAGAAAATCATTTGATATTGAATATTGCAATTTTATATATAAATATATTTGTATATCATATGTTAATAGTATTATGAATATTTAGATTATATTTGTACTTACTTGATAATAAAATTTACAGGTAGAAAATGTCGCGCTATCGTGAATGGGATCTGTCCTGCAAGGTTTATGTTGGTAATCTGGGCAGTAGTGCTAGCAAACATGAAATAGAGGGTAAGTTCAGTAAGTATGGTCCACTGAGAAACGTGTGGGTAGCCAGAAATCCACCTGGTTTCGCATTTGTGGAATTTGAGGATCCACGAGATGCCGAAGATGCAGTGAGAGGATTAGATGGAATGTAAGTTTAATCATTTGTAATTTTTGTAATAATTCTGAACCCTTTATATATGATTATATATAAATTATTAAGTAATGATATAAAATAAGCAAAATTGTAAATAATAGGATAAATTGTATAAATTGCTAAAAAAGCTTTAATGAATGGATTGTAATTATTGAGTATTGATTAGATAATTATTATATATATCTGCCACAATTATCACTTATACAATCTCTTCATAATTATCGCTTCTTGTCAAAGGAATAAAAAAATAATTCAGGATGGTAAAATTGTTTTTCTTTGCAACTGAAAATATTTTTTCTTTCAGACACTTGTGTGGTACCAGAGTGCGAGTAGAAATGTCATCTGGGAGAAGTCGGCGAGGCGGTGGTGGACGCAGACCCGGTCCTAGATATTCGAGGTAAAGAAACTTGCGCCGTTTCACAAAAATCGCGAACTTTGCAGCAAGAAAAATGTTAGAGCTGTGACAGAAACTAACTAAAAGCCCCTTGCCAACATAGGTATTTATGAGATTATGGAGATGAGCATCTCTTTCTTATCTTAAAAATAGGAGCGCGCTCTTATCAGGGAAACAAACGAAGTACGGGTTTTTTTTCCTCAGTGAACATTTTTATGCACATCACTACCATGTAATTCGATATTTTTTTCTCTCTTATGTCTCTGTGTGTAGGGGAATGCCGATAAACGTATAGTTTAGTATTATATATTTATACATCGTATTCTTTTTTTTTTTTATATATATAAAACTTTTTCTCTCTTTCTGTCTCGAACGTCATGTGTCTGGCTAATCTTCCTCCTCGTTTACGATCATGAGTTCGCAGTTCGAAATGCCCAATTATTCAAATATGTCGTGTGATACGTTTTTGTACAAATTACACCAGGATTAGATGTTAAGTCTGCATGAGTATGGTGAAAGGTCAATATCAGGGATTAGTCAGAGCATGGCTAAATTTACACTGCATGTTTGTGTGGACAGAGAGATATTGAGACATTACAATTTAGTTTGATGTACTAAGATAAAAGCTATTGAAAGAAGATAAATCAAAATGAATTGAGAGGATAATATTAGATATCAATAAGTAGTTTTTGTTTACGCAGTGTAAAAAATTTAAATATTAATGAATTCTATATAATTTAAATATTTATGAATTCTAACTGCATAAATAATGTAACTCAATATATTCATAGAATAAAGTTCTGGCTTTAAATCTAATTTTAAAAAATATAGAGAAATATACATATATAATGGTAATAAATATTTTCACATCTTTTCTTACGAATTTAATTAAATAATTGTCGAATTGAATTATTTAATTTTTTTAACAACTTTTTTTTATCGCTACTAATAAATTATAATAAACTTTTTTGTTAATGTGTATATTAATGATACATATGTATAAAGCACGTATTTTTTACGTTACTTCATTACATTGTTAATTTTTAGAAAAATATTTTACAATCTTTTATCTTAGCACGACAAATGTCGAGATAACAATTTCTGTTTTTGATTATCAGTCAATATTTGTTTCTATCTCTTTCTTTCATTATTTCCCTCTCATCTATTTTAGTGTCTTTAGGTACACGCTTCAGCAAACAATTGGTTTCACATATGAAATATTTTTTCCCTTTCTTTCATACATTTTTAGGTCCAGGTCACGCAGTTCCTGTAGAAAATCCCTGGATCGTTATCCGAGGTAAGATTTTTCCGCTCCTCTTTTCTCATCATCTCAAAAAGATCCATTCTCTCTCTCCCTTTCTTTCTCTTTCTCTGTCTTTGTTTTCTTTGCTGTCAAAATTAGGTACAGTTTTCAGGTACTACTAAAAAAAAAAATATGTGAGCCCACCGCCGGCGATATATATTGGCAGACATACATTAGTTCTTTTTAATTTTTTTGTAGATCTTGGTCGAGAAGTCCACGAAGATCGTGTAGTCGCTATGCCAGGTAATTCATTCTTCTTCTCATGTCATTTAATTATTTTTCGTATCTCGCTTCGCGAAAGTTTTTCAGACTCTATCTGGCGAAAGAAACTAGATGATAATCAGTAGGTATACACATTTCGCGATTTTATATTTGTCATAACATACGCATGCTTGTAGAGAGAGAGAGAGAGAGTGTGTGTGTGTGTTGCACGCATTGTCTACATAAATCACTAAAAATAGTAGTCGCTCAAAACATTTAGAGACATTCGAAGAACGATGCTGGAAATAAATTAATAGTAAATAGATTAATCAATGGCCATGACAAAAATAGAGTTTACCTTTCACGTAACTTAACAAATTTTCTATGAAAATTCATTTCTGCTAATTAATTAATTTCATCATCGTTCTCTTTTTAAGTTTGAAATTTATAATTGGAGGATTAAAAGATATTTTAAGGGGGTAATTAATCGCGTGGCGAATCGTGAACACTCGAATTACGATAAAAAAGCGAATAATGCTTGATTAACAATCGAATTTTGGAAAGAACATATGACTGTGAACAAATGATACGATGGTAAATGAAAATGAGGAAGATTTAAAAATTATGTAATAGAATAAAGCAAAAGAAAGAGAGAGTCAAAATCGAGAAGAATGCATGATGTCAGCGCGATAATTTCGGGAGAAATAAAATGCACCTTGCACTTATAGAGTTTTGAGTTTCTTAAAATTACCGTATCATTATTGATCATTATTGATTTTGATCTTTAAGTGACTCGAAAGGAGGAATCTCTTCGGTATCTGAAGTCGAGAATGACAGCTTTATAATAAGGTTGCAACCAAAAAAAACAAAATTATTCTAGTAACAATAAATTATTTAATAACAATAACAAATAATGAATAATATTTTCTTAATAGTAATAATTTAAAATATATTCCAGATCTCTCAAAATTTTTTAGTTATAATTTTTTAATTAATTACAACTTTTAATTGCTTAATATTTCTAATACTTTTAATATTTCTAATACTTTTTTATTAATTAATAATGATATTTCTCTTCTTTGTAATTATAAGAAAGTAACATATAGTAAAAATTTCTTTTTATTTTCTTGAACAACAAATATTTTAAATTTTTATTTATATTTTTACGACTTTTGATTGTCACTTTCTTAAGACTTCGGATACCAGAAGATGTTTTAGTCGAATAAGGTAAACACTCGTGCTTTTTGTCACTTCTCATCGCACACGCACCGCAGTATGAACAAGGTGAAGAATTATAATTTGAGTATAATCCGAATTTAAAAAGCTTATTAATTTTTTTTTGTTATACTCGATAAAAAATCCACGTGTGCTCGATGCGTCGCGACGAGAATGTGATGTGTAACCGGAGCAATATAGATCCATCACATATAGATCCGAGTCGATGAGCACGAAGCACAGAGAGGTCCTCTCTTCTTTTTTTCGTATGCATTCGAGTGGGCAGTCTAGGATAAAGGAGAATGCAAAAATCAATCGGTAATAAACGGCGAAAGGCGAGCATGTGTATGCAATTTCGATTCGCAAAATCTTTTTTTTTTGTTTTTTTTTTTTTTTTTGGAAATTATAAAAGTTTGAAAACCAAAAAAAAAAATACTCGATATAGTGGCCAGGAGTATGATAACGTTGATGATTATATTGCTAAAACTGACGTTTGCAGATTCTACCAGCGTCAGCTCCTAGCTCTGCTCGTCTCCCCGCCACTACTACTGCTACTTCTACTACTACTACTACTACTACAGCCACCGTGAAAAAGCGTACTCGTACGCGAAAAAAAAATGCAAAATTGTCAATCTCGCAATCGTCGCCAATCGAACAAAACTGAACAAAAATATATATATGCCTGCCTGCCCACTAACTTCCCAATCAACCAAGTCACCATCAGTCACCACCAAGTCACCGAGTATATAGGAAGCCGTCCGTACGTCTGTCACGTCACGTCACGTCACGTCACGTCGTCCGTCGAAGTTGTGCGTTGTGGTGTTGCAACGCGCACACAGCACATATAATGGTGCAACAACCGACAAACAACAGTTCGCGTGCTGCCGGAGTACTGTCAGTGCCGAGAATGCCATCTTAAAAGAAAAAAGAAAAAAAACGTTGCCTCTTTTGTTGCTGTCCCCCCGTTCGCCATCGTTGCACTGCAAAACAAACCGTCCATCGTTCTACGAGATTGTCCCCTTCGATAACTACCACCACTACTACTACTACTATTATTATTACTACTACTACTACTCTTCCACCACTACCACCATCACCACCACCAACCACCAACCGACCGATCGACCGATCACCGGGTGTTGTTGTGATCCACGTTCTTCGACTCTTCGTCTCAGCTTTAGCCCGGGGGGGCAGTGGTACGCACTGAGTTAATCGCCAAAAAAAATTCGCCACCGTGAGAAAAAAACGTCACCCATCGACCGCCACCATCTTGAACGAATCAATCGCGCGATGCCAAAAAAAAAAAAGATTTTCCACACAATAATTTTATTCATCGGCGCGTCTCTCCATTCGACTGCGAACGACTGTCTTCTCGACCGTTCGTCGTTTCGATATCGACGTTTCTATTTCACCACTGCTACTACTAGCATTACCGCCACTGCTACTACCACTACTGCTACTGCTCCTACTCGTCGACCATCACTTAGGGACGTGTGTTTAGCCACGACGACAACTGAGCGCGCGAGAGTTGCCGCCGAAAGATCTTCTCGAGAGCGAACGCAAAAAAAGCGAAATGATCACCACCTACTACACACCATCCCACCACCACCCAACCAACTACCACCAACCACCACTACATGTTCACAGTTGTCTGGTATTTCACCGATTTTCAAAGATTTTTTATCTATCTCTATCTATTTCTATTTTTTTGTTTTTATTTTTTTTCTTATTTTCAGAATTATATGCAGTTATTATTTTGGATTTATTGCTGTCGTTTCGGCGAGGAATTCTGCCTGTTTCGGTGAAGACTTAATATCTTTATTAAAGGACCAAATAGAAAAAGCTTTCAAATTGTTCTTGAAATCGAATTTTTAGAAATGAGTATAATCAATGTTTAATTGAATTGTGGAGAATTCCAAGCCGATACACACATGTAACATAAATATAAAGTGATATATCTGTTACATCTATCATATATATTGAAAGATGTCGCATTTATTGATAAAAGATTTAATTTGATTACTAAAGTTAATCCTCTATCTTTTCTTTAATTAATTTTACATTCGATTGGTGAGTCATCATTTTGCATTGTTAATCCTGTCTAACTATATAATTTTTATATATCACCCTTTAGGTAAAATAGAAATTAGATAATCCTAATTCTCTTGCAGTTGCCTTGCGATGATTTTCCGTATCTGTGTTCTATTACGTCGCTCCGCTCCGTTTCGAACAAAGAAAAAAATTCAACATTATAATTCTTCAGATTTCAGTCGCTTATGAAATAATATAAGTAGATATAATTGAATTAATATTTTAAATTATTTTTAACAATTTAAAAGTTAAGTGATTAATAAATAATTCTTTCAAGAAAAACCAATACAAAAAATAATTATATATAAGCAATTACTCTAATAGTAATTTAATTATTTTGAAAATTTATATAAATATTAGTTTAACATGTAAAAATTAATTTGATACTCTATTATATTTTTAATAATTGCTTATTTGTCATATTACAATTATATAAATAATTATTTATATTAGTAAATTTTGATTAAATATTTTATTGAAATAATATCGTTATATATATGCACAATAAAAATTAAAAATTAATAAAATTTACGAATATTTATATTACATATTTATATATGAAGATTTTACGTATTAATATGCTACAGTAATATTAATATTACTTGTTGTTTATATTACGATGATTAAAATGGCGATTTGAAAAGCTCGTAATGGAGCGGAGAAGCGGTTTCTAATAATCCCATCGATCACTCCAAAATGAAAACGATATCTAAATTGTCTTTAATCTTTTAGGTCGAGGTCTCGCAGTCCCCGCAGGAGATCACTGACTCGGAGCCGTAGCCGCGATCGCCGTTCACGCTCGGATTCCCGCGACAGACGGTATTAATATATTAGTCCCGCTAATTAAAAAAAAATAAAAAATAATTAAAAAGTTAAAAAAAAAAGAAATTATTTTCCCAAATAAACAAAAAAAAAAGGAAACAAAACAAGAGAATCAGAAAAAATTAACGCAACAGTAAAGAAAAATTACAACGCTTGAATGCGCCTCCGAGGGGACGAGGGCTTTTGTGTGAAATTGATATGATTGGATAGAAAAAAATCCTATCATTGTACGACATGGCGAAAATTCTGCATTCGTGTGATCAAAATTCGCCGCAAAGACACAGCAACGTCCTTTCTCGCGATAAGAGTGAAAAGAAAGAAAAGAAAGACACGAAAAAGCAGTTCATTCTAAGATTCCTTTTTCTAAGCTTTGTATTTTTTATCTAATTACAGTTAGATGCTAAAAGTTCGAGAGAAAAAGAGAGAGAAATGGGATCGACTGGACGGAAGACAGAAATAAAGATGAGAAATAGAGGGAAAGACAAAGTCATAAAAATTGATTGTTAACTACACATACACACACATACATACACAGACGCTCGCGTTCGAATCTATGAATAATTATGATAAGATTACGCTAAGAAATAAAATGAGGAGTGGATTTTGTGAACTATACGTTTACGAATTTAGTATATAAGCTGTATTCTTCTCGTAAGTTTCACTATTATATGTAGCATAAACACAGACACATGTACACATAGACGAATTAATTATTGCACATTTACACTACATACATACATACATTTACGTACATTATATCACGAGTAATTTTGTGATGTCGAATTAATCGATTAATTATATCAATCTGTACTATTCATAAAATAAATTCGATCATACTTTTGTGAAATTCTTAATTATTATTAATGTTTATTGTGACTAAATGCTAGAAGAGAGTGAAACTTTAATTTTCTTTTGATTATTTTGTATTTTGGGTTTGGAATTTAATATATGACACAAATTAATTTGTAGATAATAATTCAAGTAAAAAATTGCAATACAGCTTTCTTTTGTATACTGCGAATGCGATTTATTTTTTTTCTTTATATCGAGACTAAATGTAATGAGCACTATATACACATATTTATCTATATACATATGTATATATAATATAATGAATAATCTACAGGTACTTTTTGAATACATTTTATATACCTTATCCTGTTAAACAATCTAAAAATTTAAAAATCAATAGAAATTTAATGAAACAGTCTAAATACAAAAACGAGCTATTTTATAGTCTTTGATAGAGTTAAGTTAAGTTTAAGGACCAAAAAAATTTTTATATTTATATATATATATATATATATATATATATATATATATACACACACACACATATAATAGGATATTATATAACTAAAACAAATTTTAGAAGGTTATGCAAATTGAAAGTGAAAACGAATGATCCTTAAACTAAAAAGAATAAATGAATTCTTTCTTATAAATAGTTTACTTTTCGGACAAGATTTTCTATAATTATACTTTACTATAATTTGAATTTAAATTTGATTAATTTTTATGATGAAAAATGTATTTTCGAAAAGTATTTGTTATTTATAGAAATTGAATATATTTTGGAAAGAATATATATATATGATTTCTGCTTTTTTAATTTGTTTTTTATTTAATTATTTAGATATAAAAGCAATCTCTCTTTTAATATAATCTACTTTTCGATAATTTATATGCGAACTTGAGTGTAATCAAATCTAATTTATTACATAAATGTGTATTTTTTAAATATATTCAAAATTACGTCAATTATATTTTTGTCCTGTAATTAATAAAAAATTAATATAAAATCATAAAACACATAATAAAGAAAATTTACGTTATGAATATTCTACGTAGATTTTTTAGGACTCTGTGATGATTAAATATAAGCTGTATTGCCTAAAGCAAGGGCACATAATCTGACTCCTTGCTGACAGATGTGATAATCTCTGATAGGCAATGCCAGGGTCTCATCTAACAGCTTCAAAATATCCAGATTAGCTTTTAATGCCAGCTCATTTTTGCCTTCTTCGAGATTCATCGATGCGACTTTGAAAAGTGCGTCCGTGTCTTGGAGGGCTCTTAAGCCTTTCAATATATTTGTGCTCTTGCCGCATTTCGCGCATCCGATCATAAACTCGTTTGTGTCGCTTCTGACCAACAGCACGTTACCACAGGACAACCCAGTTTCGCATTTAAATCTAAAAAAAATCGTACAATATAATGTTATGGCGTCAATTTTATGTTTCTGGATAGGGTATCTTGATAATTTATATTTTTATAATTAAACAAGTTGGCACTGGTATCTTCATTATAATTTTATTAGTAATAATAATTATAATGGATTATTATCCGATTAATTACAATTATTTTAGCATATAATTAACATCTGATCATGTTGATCTGATCATAAATACCTGAGTATTGTTGGATCTAACTCTTCCAGAAGCGGCCAGTGCCCCGAGCACGCTTCACAATTGCAATCAAACCAATATTGGACTCTCAATCTTCTCTTTCGTTCATTTTCGGGCGTGGTTGTGAAGATCGGACCGTAATTTTCAGAAATCTCTTCACCCGCTCTGATTGTCCGAGCGGCACGAACAACCATAGTCGTGCCGATAAAATACCTAATGATTAATGTATATTTCACATGTATAACATTCAAATTATTTTTTTTTTGTTAAACATTAGTAATGAAATAATTTTTAAATTAATGAAGAATTAATATAGATTTTCAATAATTAAAAAATTGGTTCAAATGAACGATAATTAAAAGAGTTATATAAATTAATTTAATAAATAATTTATTAATTTATATAAATTGTTGATATTTGAAAATTTTAGCTTTTGTTTTTTATAATAATAATATTTTAATAATGTACAAAATATGATGTTAATTATTTACCGTATTACACCAGGATTGCATGAATGATTTAACATCGCTACCGTAGGATAAACACCACCGCCTATGAATATACTTTTGGCCTTAGAGAGTGTCTTCTCCCCTTTTGGTTTTATCAGTTCCGAAATCTAGAAAAGAAATGATATGGTCAGTAATTGCGAGAGGAAAAACAATAATATAAATTTGATTGCGATTTTATAATAATCTATTTATTATGTAAAATTAATGTAAAAATCGTTTTAAATAAAAATAATTTTACGGCAATAATTAACTACAGTCGCACGAGAAAGCGTGGAAAATTATAACATTGTAATATTACAGCTTGTTACCTCGTGCGAATTGAATTGCAGCAACTGTAAATTGTGTAACAGTAACTCCGCGATGAACAACTCCTCGTTGGATAATTTGTTGTGCGCTGTATCAGCAGTTTTCATGCTTTCCGGCAAGTATTCGCTCGTTTTTAGCAATCTGAACAGCCAAGCTGCCATATAAGCTCTGTGAAAAAGATCCTCTGGCAATCTTTTGTCTTCATGGGTCACTATCAAGAATATAAAAAAAAATCTCAGTATAAGAAAAAAGATAATCTCCATATCGAAGAAAAGCTTGAGTACTTGTTTCATTAACAAATAATTTAATTTTATATATTATATTTTTATAATTTAAAATAATAAATTTAACAAAACAATTTTGCATAAATACATATCGGAATGTGCTGATTTAATTAAAAAGTTGCCTTATTTCTACTTTATAGTTTTGTTTAAGTTACTATATTTTTATATTTTATATATTTTTTTATTTCAATTAATCAACCTAAATTGTAGAAAGTCATGTAATCATTCCCTCGATACGGATTCTTCGCGGAGATGTTCAATGCGCTTCCGGAATCCACGAGCTGTTTCTTTAGCTTCATAATTTCTTCCAAGGATTTCTGTGTGATCGCCCTTAAAGCTAGAAAACACGTCACTGAAGCCTTCGAACGCCACAGGATCGGCAGCAACTTGCATTCCCGCAGATGCACTTGGGCGTCCGCGTCTCTGCAACGACGACTACAATATATGATGCAGCTGCAAGTGCGACAAGGAACTGGCACAAATATCCTCGCGAAGCATAAGTGACAATGTGTGAACCTGAAAATCATACGTCCCAGCATTCTTAATTGTTGATGATAAAATTCTACAATAATAATATATAATAAATATATAATAATTAATTATATAATTATATAATTAATTAATTATATAATTATTATATATAATTTATATATAATATTACATATTTTATATTTATTATTATATAATAAATATATAATAAGTATTTAATAATTAATTAATTAATAACAAATAGTTAAGGAAATAAAATGAAAGAAATATAGAACTAGATTATATGAAATACTTGAATTTTTACCTGTTCTCCGCCAACAGAAACGCGCAATGCGGTCGTTCCACGATTATGATCTCCCCAGGCACTATTTCCCTGGTTGCCACAGCATGTCTACCCACGTCACCTCCGTTGTCCTTGATCTCCACTGCGCTATTGCAAGCAGGATATCGAGGATTCCTTTGCTTCTCGAGAATAAACTTACCGCGATTCTCTTGGGAACGTTGACTGGACAGACTTGGCTTGTTATTAACTCGCGAGAGATTATTCGGGGCGATTTTGTTGAGCTGTTTGCCCTTATCCATCACCGCGAGCATCATCCTGATGTCCGCTTCAAATTTCTGTTTGCGCTCCAACGATATCCTGGCATCGTCCAGAGTCTGGAGAGCTCGTCTGAACGCCTCGATCGCCGCATCGTGTCTCTTCAAAGCCAACAGGCATCTGGCCCGTCGCTCCTCGAGTTTGTAAAAGAGATCCTTTGGGTAACCGAGTTGCAAGGCCTCCTCCATGTCCTCCAACGCATGCTCGTAATGTTCCAAGTGATACAGCGTGGCCGAGCGATTCGCCAGGATGACACTTAATTCTAAACATTTAGACCTGCGTTCACGATCCATATAATTAAGTGATGTGATTATTATTGATTGAATGACGTCGAATAATTAATCGGAGATTTTTCAAATAAATTAAATTATGGAGAAACAATGAAAAACTATTTAACAAACATTATGTTATTAGTGTGACAAATATATATTAATTTTAATACATATATAATTAAATAATACAGATATTATAATAAACATCGTACATTTGATATATTTACCTGTTGACGGTGCTAAAAGTACTGCGTTCGAATAAGCCTCCAAGGCCTTTGCAAATTCGCCGCGACCAAAAAGCTTGTTTCCAGTTTCTTTCAGTTGAATAGCACCACTGCTGTCCTTAACCATGGGCTTCTCCACATCCAGGGACAATTGGTGAGCCTCGGGATAGCTCAGGACGAAAGCTACTCTCTCGGCATTCGATTCGAGGGCGGCGAATTTCTTAAAGTCCTGTTGGCGAATCGCCTTTCGCACAGCCAACAAATTCAAGCGAAAAAATCCGCCGATTTCTGGTTCCAACTCTCTTTCCGACATAATTTTTATTATTTTTAATAATATATGTAATAATTAAAAATTAATAAAACATACAGCTGTAATTAACGTATTAGTGTTTGGATGTTTTTATAATAGCATTAATATATGTCTTGTATTTTTATTTTAAATATACAGAATTATGTAACACAGTTTTGATTATTAATTAAATTATTATATTATTCTATTATTATATAATTAAAATATATTCTTTGGTATTAATTATCGGTAAAATTCTCTTGATAATATTGATGTATATTTTTAGAATTAATTCCGTGTAATTAATTTTCACATTAATTTCTCAGCAAAATCGTTCATAAACATCGAATTGATTATCGTTATCTTTTTGAAAAACGTGAAATTAATTAATTAATTGGAGAACACGTTCGAGTGGCACGTCGCTGCTCCACAACTCGAAGATACTAGCTTCTCGTAGCGTGTCTAACTGCAACGAAGACTATACACGACTATTTTGGAGTGGGCTATTTTGAGATACTCGGTTTTAATGTAGAAGTGTGTCTGTAATGCCTTCCTAGTTAGCGACAATGTATGTAAGTTTACGTATGTCCGGATTAGAGTAACTAGATCATCTGTCACTTGCTTTTACATTCACAATCTTTGTAGATTTTCAAAGATGTACATGTTTTGGAAATTGAAATAATAATAATAATAATTATTATTATTATTATTAAGGGACCGAGAGAGGGAAAACATAAAAATTCATATGCGGATAATAATAAAAGATTATATGTGTTAATATTTTTATTCGTATCTGTGCGTTATGAGGTAATTAATTCCTAAACTTATTATAGATCGATAAAAGATAATTAGTTTTTTATTTCTCGATATAAGCTAACTTAAGTACAATATATATACAAAATTCAGAGTAGAAAGCGATGTACAAACTGGCCAATAGAATTTACGTGATTGATAATGACCTTTAATTATGATGGGATTATGCTGATAATTATAGATGAAAAGCTACATCTTGTTCTATGCACATTTTAGGAAAGAATATATTTATTTTCTTAAGGTAACTTTTTAAAGATAACTTTTTAAGGAAAGACATCGATTCAATGTCATACGCATTATTGCATAATAATCGTACATGTCATCTATTATCTACTATTGTATAATAATCACTTACTTTTTAATAATAATCATTTGTTTTTTTTTAGTCCGTAATACATGTATGTATATAATATCAATTATTAATAATATATTATGTACAAATTAATACAAAACTTTATTTTTCGTTCATATTGTACACAAAAATATTATACAATAATGTCGATATATTTTCGATGATGCTTTCCGATTAAATACTGTGTCAGCTAAAAAGATTCTAAAAATACTAAAGATAAAAAACTAGAAAATACAATTTAATAGATGATGAGAAGATTTTTATGTAAATATGTAAAGATTAATTCAATTTAAGAAAATAAAATCTTTAAAAGGAAATAAAAAAACATATAATATGTACTTGTATATATGTTATGGGTGTGTGCATGTTGAGTATACATTTACATATTATGGAGCAATTTTAATTCAAATAGTTCCCAGTTTTTGAACTCTCTGATCTACAGTGGGTCCAATACTTTCTTCAATTTTTTGAACTCTCTGATCTACAGTGGGTCCAATATTTTACAAATATATATATATATTCCCTGTAAAATCCTATTTTTTTACAAACAATTTTGTCATATGCCACGAACAAGGATAATAAAAAAATCTGCATTTTTATTTCCTTATTTACACCTGGGAAACTTCCGATCTAGTTCTTCGCGGAATTATTGTTAGGATCCGTCTCACATTTTAGGATCCCGAGGAGGCTTTTCAAAAGTCGTATGAACCCTCGTCGTCCTCCCTATTAGCCCTTAAGCCCATCCTGTAGATGCCCCCGGCCAAGCAACCTCCGATGAGCGGACCCACCCAGTAAATCCATACGTCCTGATACATATCCTCCACCACGGCTGGGCCCAGAGTCCTGGCAGGATTCATGCTGCTGCCGGTGATGGGGACCGCCGCCATATGAGATGCCACGATCGCCAGACCGATCGCCACCGGGGCCCAACCCCTCGTGTCGGACCTCTTAGCATCCGTCACCGCGTGTACCACCAGCACCAGCAGGAACGTGATGATGATCTCCATTAGGACACCCTGGCTTACCGACACGCCGTGACCCAGCATGGTAGCGCCGAGACCGCCAGCAGCTGGTGTCTTGGGTATTATCAGCTGGATGGAATGATTCGATTCGATGAGATTTTGCGAAGAAAAGAGGAATTTTTAATTCCTCGATATATAATAAATTTCTTAAAAAATAAATTGATCAACTTTATAAATTCCTTAAATTCAATATTATATAACTATAGTAATTAATATTCTGATTTTTAAATTAAGGTATTTACAGAAAATAGAATTGATCTGTTTGATTTCTGAGAGGCTCATACATAAAATTATAATGGATAAGATAATATTTTCTGTATAGCTTTAAATCATTTTACTGCTATCTTTAAATAATTAATAAAAAATGATTAATTTTTATATTTTTAATAATTAATTTATATTTAATTTATAATTAATTTGTAATTAATTATATTTATATTTTTATTTAATCATTTTATATTTATTGTAAGCCAATAATAATAATAAAGCTAATAATAATATTTGTTTACTAGTCATATTTTCCAAACAATTTTTTAATACTGTTTTTTAATTATTACCAAATTATTATGCTAACGCATAATTTAATTACTGTAGCGTATATAACGGATATAATAATTTCATAAATTTTTTTATATTTCCCTACATTAATCGCGTTGAAATGATGATAAAAAACTTAATAATTAAACTTGTTTGATCAAATTAATTCGGACCACACACAAAATATATAGAGTATCGCACACATGCACGCACGCACGTGCGTAGCTTGTTGCTCTCTCGCGCGTGACCCAGCCGCTGAACACTTGCGCGACTAGTTTTTGATGTAATGGATATGCGAACGGTTGATGGAGGAGGAGAGGAACGGACCTTGACCTTGTGCAACGATTTAATTGATACGGACAAGACGGAGCTCCGCGCCAAATCGAAATGACAGCCTATCAACGATCGATTTCACGCTTCAGTCGAATGATCATTACGATTGCGTGTGTGTAAGGAACGCACGTGTGTACGTAAGACGCGCCCAAATAAAAATGTCATGTACGCGACCCGGTGACCTCTTCGAGTACATTTTATTACTTATGCAATGTTGAGTGTCCAGCAATAAAGAGATAATTTCGATTAATTTTAAATTAAGAAAATCTTAATAAAATGATAATAAAAAAATTTGATACCTTGTTTGGCACTTGATTAAATAAAATTAGACTAATTTAAGCCGCGTATCAAATTCGACTTTCTTTCTTCTCTTTTTAAAAATCGATAAAAATTGATTTAACAATTAATAAATATAAATTTAAATTTATTTTCTCTCTTATCTTTAAAAAAGGAGAATTAAGCGTTATGATAAATTTTAATTAAATTAATGAATGAATTGTAATTAATTAGATTCTTAAAAATTAGTGAATTTTATTTTAATCTTACCTTGAGAACGGCAGAACCCGCGATAGCGCCGCAACATTGACAGATTATATAACTAACAGTTTTAAGAAAACTGCAATTTCCGCTGACCATTAGACCAAGTGACACAGCTGGATTCACGTGACATCCAGAAATTGGACCTAAAACCTGGAAATTAAAAAATTATAATATAAAACTGTTCAAAAATTTTTAAAATAACTATTATAATTAATTTAGTACAATAATTATAACAATTAATAACAATAAGTATGAACCATATATATATATATATATATATATATATATATATATATATATTACTATAATGTATTATAAAGTCACGATGCAAAAGATGTTTTTTTAGCTTTCAAAATTTTATTATAATTTTGCTATATTTCTACTGTATCATGTTATCATTATATTCCTGATTAGGAACGCATGATATCCTCATATGCTTTCGATCGGCGAACTTGTGACTAATAAAACTTTAGGCCGTGAGAAAATTTCTAAGATTTCTTTCGTAATCATCATGCGATCTCACGCCCACCGCAAGGAGAAAGAGAGAAAGACAAAATTTCTCGTATTTATCTCGAACGATTTCCCAACAATCAATGTCATCGTAGCGAGCGTTTTGACAATCTCGCAGTGTGTCACTGCGTGTAATGTCTGCTTGTAAATTCTTCTTATGTATCCGGCATATAATTATGTGGAGATCGTAAACGATTTGAAATGATCTCGCGAAATGTCCGACCTTCTCGTAGATAAAAATGCATGACAATCTCTCTTTCTCTCTTTATTATTTAGAAATATCTTCAAAAATATCTTACGAAAATATATTTTGCAAATATATAATACAATATATTTTATTTTTAAATTGACGAGGTAAAAAATAGTCGAACAATCAAACAATAGGTAAAAATAATTAGAGATTATTGAATTTCTAAAGATTGTGTAATTCTAAGAATTGAAATATTTATTATTAACCTATGTATTTTAAAGCAATGCAATTTATTAAAAAAATTTAATTATTTTGATAATGTGAAGAAAAGAAAATTTTAAATTAATATCAAATATTATTTTTAGATTATTTATGATTTTTAAATTATTTATTAAATATATGTAAATTATACGATTTATACAGATAGATACAGGTATGCATATACATACAATATAAATTATAAAGATAACATAAATCTAACACACATATTTATAATATATGTATATGAGAAAATACCTAGAAAATGTGCCTGTAAAATCAATTTTTAATTCTGTTTGTCATCACTTAAACACCATTTTTTCTAATATACGAGTATATGAAAGAGAAAGAGAGAAGTTTATATTATATATAATTTTATATAATTTGTGTGTGGGATTGATTGTATCATTCAGTAATATAATTTTGATTTATTATAGCGCTTCCGATTTTTACGTCATGTACGAAATAAGTATGTAAGCATTTAATTAAAATAAAATTTTTTTTTCTCATTGTAATGTCTACTTATATGAATATTATTGAATAAAAAATTAGGTACACGACGATCATTTTCTTTAATAAAGGAAAATTGGAATCTAATTCACAGAGATGTTAGAATAATAAATAACAATGAGAAAATTATATAATAATCATATTGTATATAATATTATATTGTATATATTATATATAATAATTATTATTACAATTGCTGCTCCTTAGATTTGCAACAGCATTCATATTAATACATAACTGCTTAACTTTTTTTCTTATTATTTATTTCCGTTCCTATATGCGAAATGTCGACCGAAAGATAAAAGCAATCAGGATAAGAAGCTGTCTAATTGTATATATAAAACATACTATCTTAAATTGAATCAATAAAAATTTTTATTGATTAAAAATGTAACACAACGTATCTCTCATTTAAGTAAGCATTATGTCTTTTTATAACATTTTTTGTGAATTATTTATATAGAACAATAAATGTGTTTTTAAAATCTGCAAATAATTTTTTAGAAGATATAGTTAAAATGTTTTAAATTTTAAGTTTTATATTTTTTTCTAAATGCAAATCGAAATTATCAATGAATTAATGTACATTAATTATAACAATATTTTATAGCTGAAAAACAAAAGAATAGATGTATATCTAAACATTTATACAAATGACATTGATTGCTTTAATTGTAATATATGAATAATATATAAAGTGCACCTTTAATAAATCGAGTTTAGAAGAGAAAATGCTCAAAACTATACTGTTACAAACGAGTGTGTAAGGAACTGAAATATATGAAGTAAATTTGTGTGAGTAACTAAATTAAGACATAAATCTTGTACGCGATAAGAAAGTGATGACAGGCGGACATGAAAATCGGTATTATTTTGGTTTAGTTTTTATCTGCATATCGAGTTACAATAGATAAAGCCGAGTCGAGGCTCGCTCGAGCTTGTCCTTTAAAAGCAATTAGAGAAAAGGATGCAACGAGGGTGCGACAAGGATGCGAGAAGAAACGCGAATAAGACGCGAGATACTTCGCGAGTGACAAAATCCGAGTTTTCTATTGGATTTAAGGATCGAGGATTTATGATTATTGGCTATCGATTGAGTCCACGTGGAGTATTTATGTAGCTCAGCAGTCCTCGTGGATTATTTAGGAAAAATTCGGGATGCTACCGATATATGGATCATCTGACGCGAATATTAATCGTTACGCAAAGGCCAAACACAAATTAAATAAATACATTCAATTTTATAAATATTTTTATAAATCTATTTTCTAATAGAATTAAATATCTAAATTAATTGATAAAATTAATTATTACGCGCAATCAATTTTTTTGCCTTTTAAACAGATATTTAATATTGTAAATTATAATTATTCAGCATTATTTTGAATATAAACTTTTAATAAAAATTCAGTTTATTTAAAAATATCTAATTCTTATATATAAAGTATATAATAATTACATTATTGTGAATATATTTTATAAAATATTGAGCTATTTTGAAATATCAATTAACACGAAAAATATTTTATTATATTATTTGGAATATTTTAAAATAAAAACTGAAATACTTTTTATATATGCATTATATATTAGATGATAATTAAGAATAAATTCGAAAGGGTGAAAAAGTAACAGGCAATTTGTCTAAAAATAACATGATTGATAAATAATTTATAAATGACTTACATTTTAGTCAAATCACCTTTTTTTTTTGAACACACCTCGTATTGCTTTTCAATTTCGTTTAACAATTTATCTTTTACAATTTTAATTAATATGGATTTAATTAATATATTTTCAATGATAATTAGCGAGTCGCGTTCTTATAAATATGTTAATGAATTTATGACATTTAATTTTGACGTTTGTTAGTATTCATATAAACTAAAACTAAAACAAATGTAATGTATCTAGAGCAGTCAATATTTGATTCATAGCTTTGCGTGTGGCTGCTAATCGATAGCAGATGTTAACCGCGATAGAAAATAAATTGATCTAATTCCATTGTACAGTTTGCAAATTGCTATAAACTCATTTTTCAAATTGTAATAGATATATATCCAGATATATATCTAGTGTTTATGGAAAAATTTTACATTACAATATCCGTCATATAGGGTAAAATATAATATTTTATTGCACATATGTATATAGTAAAATTAATTCGAAATGATTTTGTAAATAATAAATTTTATATTATATGGTATCTCAAATTTGTAAAATTCTCTGAAAATTCCCTGCCTTTTCAGGCATTTTTGTTCGAAATTACATCATTTATTATATACATTTATTAATCTAATATTTTTCATTTTTATGAAGAAAAACATAGAATTTTTCTAAGTTTCAAGTGCTAGATTTATAACTGTACTAAAAAAAAATTAAATAACTTTTGTAAAATAAACATTTTTCATTTGCGCAACATTCATTTTTTATAAATAAAAATTACAATAAAAATATCTATTACAAAAATATCTATTATACAAATATTTATTATTCAATTCTGATTTCAATTTTATTATTTTTGATATTGAAGACATTGACTAATGAAGATATTGATTAGTGAAATATATAAACAAAGATAGATACATACTTGCAAAATATTTTAAATACATAATTAAATTGCCGACTGTTCATATAAGAGCAACATTATTATTAAGAGAGAATTTTTCAAAAAATTATTCATTCGACAAAATATGAGAATTCCCTTTCTGATTTTCTGAGGAAGAATTTCAGGGAATTTTCGTATTTTTCCAAAAATTGTTTATATTTTTCCAGGGAGTAAACATTCTGTTTTCTATAATTATTAGATTATTAACATAAAAGTAGCTTAATTTATAAATAATATATATTACATATAATTATAGAGACCTTTTAATAAGAATTTTCGGATGTGTACGTGCCAATAATTATCTCGAAACAATCGATATGATGCATGAGAGAGTACCCCTTGTTCACATTTGCGCAAACACACGTATCTTATGATCTCAGACTCACTCGAATTAATCCGGCACGGTCCGCGCAGACTCCACGGCGTCGGCGGATTCATCTAGGTCCAGAGTCGGACCCGGGATACAACGAGGGGCCCGACGCACGCGGCCCAGTTCTCATGCACGCCGACAAGGTCTCGTCTCGCCGCGGGCGATCGGCACACATATGCGCCGACCAGGATTGCGTAATCGTTCTCTCTCTCTTTCCTTTTGTCCCTTTATCTTCTCGATTCTCGTCTCCATCAATTCGCGCTGATCGATTCGCTGATTTTCGTCGATATCGATCGTTAATCCCGAACGAGCAATTGCACGTCAAAAATTCACCCAAAAATTCGCCGAAGACTTCTAATACTAGAAAACCGATCTTATCACTGGGTGATGCAGAGTACGTCCTTCAAGCCACCTATTATAATTTTAATGAGGGCCTCTCTTTAATGAGGCCCCCGATTTTGGTCGAGAAACGATTCGCGATCGAAGCGGGCGAGATCGACAATCGAGAAAGACAGATTCTTTTGTGTCGGTCCTGGGGGGAGAGGAGAGAAAACCGAGCGACGTGGCCTTGCGGCTTGCCAGGTGAAATGAAAAATCCCCGGGCTGTTGCACGGGCTTTAATTGACACGTGTTCGCGCGACGTATGTCCGTCTCGGAGAAGAGATCATGGGATATAAAATATATTATAAAGCGCGTTTCAAAGG